TTTACTATTCACAGCCGGCTGCTGTGTGAGCACACGCTCTACACCCTCTGGAGCTCACGCTGAAATGAATTTTCAGCTGCACAACACAGTCACAGGAAGCTGTGAATGTTGAGGAAATTCAATATTAACTTCAATCTTTTCACAATGTTATGGAAGGAGTAGTGAATCTGTGGTTCATCACGGCAGCTCCGAGGGCTCTGCAGCGTCAGGGTGTGTGTGTGTGAGTGAAGATAAACGTGTGTCTCTGCTGCCGTCCACCTCGGGGTGGGTCGGGGCATGAAGGCTGGAGCCTGTCGGGCCCCGGGGCCGGCACAGCGGAGTCTGTCAGGAGTTGTGATGAGTGTTCACATCAAGGTCCTCGCTGATTACCGTTGTCCCCCGCAACAAGACGGAGCCACCTGCACGCCGCGGTGCTCCACCTGTCAGCTCACATGTCGTTTAGCTAACTCCCTGACCTCCGCACCATCCATCCTCTGCACCCGCTGCGCCCTTGACTCTGACCAGATGATTTACTAAACGCTCCACCTCAGCGTGCGTCCCTGCTCTGTGTGATGAAACACTTCTGTGTGTGTGTGTGTGTGTGTGTGTCCGGGCCCATGTGAGCGTGCTGTAAAGGACTCTGCAGGTCATTTACAATGGGCTGGAGTCCGGGCGCCAAGTAACTTATCAACAGTACGTCACATTTATTAATAACAGTTTTAGGCTCTTTGGTGCAGAATTCATCTGTGCCACATTTCCTTCTATATATCACATCGTTGATCTAAAGTTTATTTAAAGAGACAGCATCGGCTGGTGAAAGTTTTACTGTTCTAGACAGTTGACAGTAGACAGAACTTTAGGTTTCTATCAAAAACGTTCTCTGTTTTAATCCCCTACAGTTTGTGTGGTTCAGGTGAAGTTTTGAGAACAAGTTGTGATTTGGACAAAAAAAAAAAGAGAATACGAATTGACCAGCCCTGGACTTCAGAAAGACCTGAATTTTTTCATGCATTCAGAGCCTTTTAATGTTGATTCCATTACTTGTCAAATAATTATCAAATAATGAATGAATTGAAGTTATTCTTTCTTTTAGACACTGGAAATTTGTCTTCTAATCACAGTAATGACATGGAAAAATAGCCTGTCAGTGGTGGCCTTGACCGGTCTTGATTTAAAATGAGGAGTCTGCTCAGGGTGAGACCGAGACAAGACCGAGTTAAAATGCTTTCGATTCTGAGACGAGACCAAGACCTCCAAAATCTGGTCTCGAGACTGGTCTTGAGATCAGGACTGATTTGGATTACTACAACACTATCTGGCACACAAGAAAGTGTTTTGTGTATTTTCAATTCTACGTGTTATATTTCTTGATTTCTGGGTTGCTGAATCTTTGATTTATGATTATTGTGATAAAAGTTTCAAATAGAAATCTCAACCCAGGGTCGTCTTGGCTTTTTACAGAGCTGATGATTCACTCTCGTTGTCTTTAACAGATGTTTGCTCCGCTGTAAACATGTTTACTGTGACGTTCCATACTAAGATCACATTTAACACAAAGCATCACAGTAAGTGAAATGTAGTGAGCGCTATAGGTGCTGCAGTCCCTTTAATCCTCTCAAACTGCTTTTTTTTTCTCTGCCTCCTTGAGCCCACACAGTTTGCTTATCCTTCCCTACCGCTGTAACACTGATCTGTTTATCATCATTAAACCCATTAGCACCTCTCTCACATCAGACAGGTGACGCTTTCTGAGGAGAAAGAACCTCGCGTTATAGAGTTGATAAGAATAGAGACGCTTCAGCTCAATGTAAAGATGTGAGTCATCACAGGCAATTCTGGCGACGCTCCAGTGTTTGTTTGGCTGTTTGAACATGTCACTGTGGGTTTGTGTGCGTGCACTGTGCACACTTAGATATGTACATGCATGTGTGGGTGTGAGGCAGCAAGGGAAAAAGGGATAATGTCTGTTTATGTTGGAAGGCCTGCTGTATTTCTTTTCAGAATAACAGTTTATAATGACAGGGTGCATGAAATGATGTGAAAATGTGCACAGCGGTAAACTGAAGGTGGAATATTCTCTACTGCAGGCCTTTGGCTGTCTTTATCTGAATTATGTTGTATTATTAAAAGGGCATAATATAAGTGCAGGGATGTTGTCGTCTCTGTGGCATTAATGCAGTTACTGCATCATGTGTCGTGTGTAGTTTTATTTGACCACTGAGATATGCTAATTTATGAGCATCCCATAAACACAGCTTATCACCTCAGCCCCCCCTGCGGTGGCGGCCTGCTGTTACAGCTCTAACGTGTCTCCAAGCACTGTGCACTTGAGTTATTGCACTGTGTTCCCTGATCACAGGACTGCATTATGATATGCTGCATTATCTACAGCTGAGCGCTCCATCCACCTGCAGTAATGGCCCCACGTTGACTGACGTCCTAGATATAGGCCGCTGCAGTGTCCCTGGGGTGGGGGGCGATAACTGACAGGATCTATAATAGAACAATCTTTACAAGACAAACATAACATGAATACCACTGACAACAGACTGTATAGTGTCTGAGTAAATGTCTTTATATGGAACGGTAGCTATTGCTAACTTATCTTTTTCCTGTGAATATCCAATCTCTTCAACAGAAATTACATTTTTGTCCTTCCAAATTCAAATTATTAGATTGAAACCAAAAAGGGTCACATAACATATTCTTATATCTCACCTGAGAAAGAGAATCTGCTCTATTTGTCTGAATTAAAGAGGTGATCACACCTCAAAATCCAAATAGAAGATATTCTTTTGGGGAGGCAGTAGCTCAGTCTGTAGGGAGATGTTTAAATACATCCAGCTTTATTTCAGTTCATTTGGAGATAATCATGTCTTTAGGTAACATTGAAGGTATTTTTGTTACTTTGTTGGCTTTGCGCAGGAAGCTTTGCATTTGTTTAAAGCCCGTTCTGATCTGCTGGACGTTGCAGTGTTTCTCCAGTCTCAGCTGACTTGATATGGCATGCTTCACCAATATAAGACGTTGCTTCTAAAATGCATTCAGTCTGGCTATGTCGTGACTCAAGGGACCATCAAGCAATTGCCAAAAATGGATCCACAATGCATGACACTGAGGCGCTGGCACAACATCGGTATCTACTTCATTCAGAAAGACAGAGCATATTTTTCTCTTAAGTTAATGCCCAATGCTTCTGTTTATAGTAAAACGCTCAGAGAAGACCACCCTGTCAACTGTTCTTACATTTCTATCAGAAGAGAGCTCATTTTTTGAGCTATTTATTTCTCCGACAAGTTTAGCAAAGTATGAGACGTGTGCCTTTTCTTTGGCCTTTAGACTCCATCATCATGTCTTCAGGTATTCAAAGGGGGTAATGAGGCTGACACCAGGGTAGGACACCCCTGATGGAGACACTAGTGGTGGAGGTGGTGGTGGCAAGACGGAGCAATATGAATCATATTCCTGCTTGAACTTACACTGAGCTTCAGTAAATACATACAACGTAATGAGATTTTTCCAAAAAGTACAACTTTAACCCCCGTATTATATCATGATAATGATAATAAAGCACCCGGCACATCCATGGGTATAAATATTGGAATTCTATTGATAAAGGTAATTTTTATAAGCGCCTGTCAAAAAGCCTCCTGCACTTGTTGTTGTTGTGTTGGCTTGTGTTTCGAATAGCAAGCAAAGAGAAGAGTCTGCAGATAACGTTTCAACAGAGAACCTTATCTTTAACATTTTACAGCTTTTGGTTAAATGTCCAGAAAAAAAATACTTTTGGATATACAGTAGATGCCAAGACTCCCACTTCCCTCAGTTGGTCAGTGTTTGCAGTCCGAATAGCTATTTGAGACATGAGATAAGTTGGAGTTAAGGGAAAATATAACCACATTGTTATCTTTTCTTGTATACAGATGGGTGTATTTCTAGATTCTTAATGTTTTGAAAATAGTTGAGTGTTAGTTGGGTGGCATGACGGCCATAAGCAGTGTTGTAGGTTAAGTCTTAGGGTTAATAAAACAAAATAAACTACAACTTGCAGGTTAAAAAGATTCTATTGCAAAAACCATCAAGATTGTGTAGACCCTTTTTATTTCATTTCAACTACATGATCATAACTTCATCTTCAGTCCCTCGTACTCAAGACGGGTGTGCATTGCTTACAAAAAGCAAATATATATAATTATTGTTTATTTTTTTAATTAGATTTCTTAGCATATAATACCAGTATGTGATATATTTTGAACTGTGCATGAGAAGTCTCAATTCTTTACATAAATGAACATTAACTTCTAGTGACATCAAATTGAACCTTTTTTCCCCCGAAAGTTTTATCACAAAACTTATAAACCAAACTGCTTACACCCAAAAGTGAGGCGAATGCGACTACAAACAGAAACAGAAACAGAGCACATCTAGCCAATAACAATGGCCCTGGAATCATAAACCGATGTCTGTTCAGAAAGATTAGCGATAGGTCAACAGGGCACGCAAAGGGATAAGCCCTTAGTCACTTTGTAGATTGTCAAAGTTTTTACCCAAACTGCCTGATTCCTGTTGGAATGAGAACAAAGATTTAAAATCAGAAAGACAGATGTTTAAGTTAATCCCCTTTAACAGATATTTCATCATTTTGCAGGACATATTCAGGCTTGTGGCTACAACTCAGATCTTCATCTTGAGTCTTTATTCTATTTGTTTTAAACTGAATACATTTTATAGTCAAAGGGAAAGTGCACATTCATAACATTGTGCCAGTTCAGCCATTATGGATCATTTTTAACTGTAGTACCTGAGCAGGTGAATGATGTACCCAAGACATACAAGACACATTAAGACAGAGCAGCAAAATGAACATATAGGGCACTTAAAAGCAAGGACAGCCATTCTTAAAACAGATTAGAACGGGACAACAATATTGTACATCTAGAAGCACATCTGGAACACACAACAAGCAAGCCAACATAACACATAGATCAAAACAGGGGCCATGTTGTATTGCTGGAAACCGTCTGTAATGTCACCTTAAACTCATCTTTCTTCTTTTCTGTCCCTCACATAGGTCCCCTTGTATGACTCTACCATGGACCATATCATCTGCTGCCTGCTGGTCCTGGGAGCAACAGTGATGATCACTCATGCATGTCCCAAGTACTGTTCATGCCAGAATCTGTCCGAGTCTCTGGGGACATTGTGTCCCTCCAAAGGCCTTCTCTTCGTGCCTCCGGACATCGACCGCAGCACGGTCGAGCTCCGACTGGGAGGCAACTACATCCTCCGCATCACACAGCAGGACTTTGCCAACATGTCCGACCTGGTGGACCTGACCCTCTCCAGGAACACCATCAGCTACATCCAGCCCTTCTCCTTCGGGGACCTGGAGACACTGCGGTCGCTTCATATGGACAATAACCGCTTGACAGAGGTAGGCCCCGATGACCTTCGAGGTTTGGTCAACCTGCAGCACCTCATCGTGAACAATAACCAACTGAGACGCGTTCATGAGAAGGCCTTGGAGGACCTTGCACCGGCCCTGGAAGATCTGGATCTGTCTTATAACAACCTGGTTTCTATACCCTGGGACTCAGTGCGTCAGATGATTAACCTTCACCAGCTCAGTCTGGACCACAATCTTTTGGACTTTATTCCAGAGGGAACCTTCACTGACCTCGAAAGGCTTGCACGATTGGACCTTACCTCGAATCGCTTGCAGAAGTTACCACCTGACCCCATCTTTGCCCGGGCCCAGGACTCCATGATCCTGACGACTCCTTACGCTCCTCAGCTGTCTCTGAGCCTGGGAGGGAATCCTCTGCACTGTAACTGTGAGATGCTGTGGCTGCGGAGGCTTGAGAGAGACGACGACCTGGAGACCTGTGCCTCCCCTCCTTCCCTGAAGGGTCGTTACTTTTGGAATTTGAAGGAGGAGGAGTTTGTGTGTCAGCCTCCTCTCATCACCCAGCACACCCACAGGATGCTTGTTTTGGAGGGGCAGACGGCCAGTTTGAGGTGTGAAGCAACCGGAGACCCTTCTCCCACCATCCACTGGATCTCCCCTGACGACCGGCTGCTTGGTAACTCGTCCCGGACGTCAGTGTTCAGCAATGGCACCTTGAGCATCACCATCACCACCTCCAAGGACTACGGCACCTTCACCTGCATCGCTGCTAACGTGGCCGGAGAGTCCACCGCTCCTGTGGAAGTGTCGATTGTCCAACTCCCCCACCTCAGCAATGGAACCGGGCAGCCGTCTGCTCCAAAGTCCCGCCTCTCTGATATCACAGGGACTACAAGGATCAGCAAGGGGGCTCCAAAGAACCAACCAGAGAAGACTGTGTCTGTGTCCGAGGTGACAGCTGTTTCAGCGCTGGTCACATGGACAGTGAGCAAGTCAGCTCCCAAAGTGAAGATGTACCAGCTCCAGTACAACTGTTCTGACGATGAGGTGCTCATCTACAGGTAAATATGTGCATGCTTTTTTAACAATTGTCAAGTTTGTGTGGCAGTTTTAGGTTGATTATCGACTATTAGTATATAGGATATTGGTTGACAACTGGTGATTGATAGGGTTTCTTTAAACAATCAGTGTAAGAAATTCACCTTATTGAAAGTTTTTTTGAAAATGGAGCTACTTGTTGAGGTAAATAACCTAAATAACAAAGAAAACTACTAAAGTCTGTTAATTGTGACAAGAAATCAAGTTTTTTTAACTCCCTGAGAAAATAACCGTCATATCACCCTTTTTTAATCGACAACAACTTTGAAGCTTACCCCCAATTCACACATACTCCGTGCGCGCCGTGGTCTGTCAGCGCCGTGTTTTTGCTCTGTCGGACGGCTCGCGCCCATTCACACTGGATCCGTTTCTGGGATGTCAGCGCAGCGGAGCGCAGCGGAGCGCACCCATGACATAATAAAGAGTATAAAGAGAATAAAGAGAAAAACATGCAAACAACATGTTGCTTTGTCTTTCTGAGGATGCATTGTTGTTAATTCGGTTCCTGTTTTGATGTAATGTTGATAAAGTGATGAAAAATACGATCGCGAGACTCTGTGCGTTTCCTTGTCTGGCTTCCTGTCTGGGCTGTCATATTCTGTCCAGCTTGACGCATGCCTGCAGCGTACTCCGGCAAAAATAGACTCGCTGTGTATTTGAAACGGAGCAGAGTGCACGCTGCGCACGCTGTGTGAACACAATGATTGACTTGAGTGGCAGCTAAGTACAACGTAGTGCGCGGCGCTGACGGACCGCGGCGCGCACGGAGTATGTGTGAATTGGGGGTTAGAGTTTGTTTTTTGGCTGCTTCTATCTTGGTTTATTTGGGCCTTGTTCGGGGTTAGGTGCCTTGCTCCAGGGCACCTCGGCAGTGCTCAGGAAATGGACTGGCACCTCTCCAGCTACCAGTCCAATTTCCAGACTCAGTCCATGATGGGACTTGAACCGGCAACCCTCCTGTTCCCAACCCAAGTCCCTACAGACTGAGATACTGCCGCCCCAATACAGAACACAGAAGTGTCAATATTTAGTATTCAGTAATGTGCAGATAAAAACGTCTTATTTACTGAAAGATGTTGTTTGGCACAGCAGGAAAAAGACTAACATTAAATGAGAGGCTCAGCACCAAACTTACTTTACACAATGTTGCGTGTTTAAGGAGAATCATACAATAGACAAAGACAGATGTATTGAATGTTTTTTTAAACTATATATTTAAAGGATGCAGTATTTTCAGCTTGACTTCCCTGTGGAATCAGCATAAAGAAATGGTTTCTGTCACATTTTAAACTGATGTTGGCTCATCATAGGGTCACACTCAATCTTTACCCTTTTTCTTCTTCATCTGAAGTAAATAAGAACCGTCTGAACTTTATGTGCTTTATTTGGCTTGATTCTTCTTATAACAAGGTGGGTTCCTCTTCTTCTCAGGAGGAGGGGGGATTGTGTCAATCCAGCAGAATTTGTTGGAGATTATCCTGATTTAGATGAGGCTTGTTTTCTACAACAGTCTCCAAAAACAAAAGTGCAACCAGCCAGAAAGGAATCCAATTATTGAGACTAATTCAAATCAGTTTATCTCCTCTAAACTGTGGAACATTTTCAGAGCTGCAGCCTGAGGGCCAGCCCACCCTTTATTTGCAAATCCCTGATAATATTGTAAGAAGACTGTTTTACAGTTTTTGTGGAATTATACACTACAACTCCAGCAAATAGTAATGTAATGTCATTACGTCTATTCAGCATTCGTATAGAGTGTTACTGCATAAATCATTTCCATTCTAATCAACATTTTTAATATAAGTATGCATATTGTGTAATTAAACATACACTGTTCGTTTAATGCAAATAGTCAAAGAGCATATTCTCCAGGCTGCACAGTATGTACAGAGATGACAGCTGATGTAAAAGCACGCCTGGATGACAAACACTCCCTGCATGCAAATCAGTTCGCCAAGTTTTACATACATACATTTACATACATACAAAAAAAAAGAAACAATTGAAAATGTGAATGTGTGCAGACTTTGGGCTAATAAGAAAAAGAGACTCAGGTCACAAAAACGAAGAAATACATTAAAATGTTCTGTTGGCTCTTTCAATCGATTCTGTATCCTGCACGCCAAATTACTCCTTCTGTCCTTTATAAGCTCCCAGAAGAACATCCCGTCTCTCCACGTTATATGTGGCTTTCATCTGAACACCTCAGGAGTGTCATTGTTAAAAGGAATTCATAATGAAACACAGAGTCTATTTTTTACATATTTGGTGTCAAAATGATTCATAAGTTAGATAAAGGTTTGGAATTGCCCCTTTGAATTTCTTCAGCCTGCAGGACGAAAACTCATTGTCAAAGTATGTCCACTTAAAGTTGTTATTCCGTCCCTGACAGGCTCAGAGAGTTTCATAAGTTAGTGTTAAAACCATTAACTTCTGACACTCTCTCAGACCTAGAGATGTGTGAGCAGCTCAGTTTAATTGTTTTTTAAATATATTTTTGGGCCCAGATTTTGAATTTACTAGATAGGACAGCTGAAGTGTTGGGAGGAGAGGGCGTGACATGCAGCAGAGGGCTGAGGTCGGACTTGAACCCACAGCCACAGCCACAAGAACTGTAGCCTCCGCACACTGGTCATGCTACTTAAACGCTGGGCTATCCGGCGCCCCCATTTCAAGCTATTTTAAAATCACAGACACATTTCCAAAATCTGAATAAAATGGGGAGTTTCATTTGAATAACAAGGTTAAAAGCCCTTCAGCTACCGCTTTCTTAAGACTCAGAGTTGATTTTTCGTTTGTCAATCTTTTTTCTCAGTGACAGGAAGGGTTACCCAGAGGTCTTCTTCAGGTGAACATTTTTCTCCAAAATTTAAAATTAAAATGAATAACATTGCAATCCCGATCTAGTTTATGATTTTCTAGTCTTGAAAACGGTACGTGTGTCTATGTTTACAGGCTATACACTAGAAGATTTTCAAACCTTAACCAATTTGAAACACTTGGGCCACCATAGACATAATGACAGTTTAATTATGCAGAGAAACGTTAGAATTTCAGCAACAAGTGAGTCCAGCCTGGAGGCTGACACAGGAGACGAGATGCCTGAATGGGTTTCAGCGCGAGCAGACCATTGAATCATGTTACTGTTCAGTAATGATGGTTATTATAATGTGTCCCTGATTATACATTATTCTATTATAATGGTGAAAAAAATCAGCTTTGTTATCCTGAGATAATCAGAAATATGAGTAGAGAAAACAATAAAAGGACTTTTTTGAAAACTGAGTAAATTAAAAATAAAGCTGCAGAGTTTTATCTTTAAATACAGGAACATGAGACAGATTTCTCGCGGCTTTTTCTAAAGATGTCTTGTTAAAAATGAGACAAATAAAAGCTGAAACTGACAGGAACCTACCAGAACAATTAAGATGTTAAAAACTATATCTGTGTTAAATCTGGAGGGGTTTAATCACTGTTCAACGCTACAGCGAGAATATGAAGTTCTTCTTTAATAAGTGCAGTCACTGTGCTGTGAATTTGTTCTGAGAGCAGCCCTGAAATGTTTCACAGATTGATTCATGGAAGCAGAGTTTAATTCAGGAGAGCTGAGCAGAGAAAGGAAAAACTTTATGTAAAAGTTTAGATAAGAGTTAAAGTTGGGAAATAATCCTTCAGCGGCTGCGATTCAAAGGATCCACAAACCTTCATGGCGTCAGCCGTGTCCCGCTGTTGTTCGCACGAGGTAAGAGTCTTCAGCTGCTCTTCAAACGCTGCAGCTGGAGGACAAAGTTGTCAGCGCTCCATGATTGGCACATTGTTACTTGAACTGAAGGTTTTGATGTGATCCTTCATGCAGGGCGGAGAATGTGAAGGCGTCAGGGCCACAGAACTGAGAACAGAACAGAGGTTGTTTTTTTTAAAGTGTCTCAGGGAGAAATGAAGGTGGCTTTTAATTCCTGAAAAGATGTTCTAAAGTTTGTGCGTTTGTTTTAATCAGAGGTTGGAAGCAGCAGAAGAAGAACACAAATAAAACTAAATACTTAACATTACAAAGAGTGAGAGGTACAAGGCCAACCTTTACTTCATGAATTAATGTTTCACACTGAGGACCCGGCTGGACTGGTCATCTGCATACTGGGCTTTTGGTGCTCCGATGCACTTTGTGGCTGGTATGATTTAATCTACTTCTTTTTTTTTAAATTGCTTATCACCTGCCCACAAAGCAGAGGCTGCTCCCTTCCCCACTTTGTTTGTGCCTTCTCAGAAAGTGAACGTATCCAGAGGACGTGAAATGAAAATGTCCTAACCATCCCTGTTAATATGCATTAAATGTAAATCCTTTTTTAAATGTATTTTGGGGCTTTGTATGCCTTTATTTTAGAGACAGGACAGTAGAAATCAGGGAAAGAGAACGTGGGGTACGACATGCGGGAAAGGACCCACAGGTTGGATTTGAACCTGGGCCGCTCAATCTCGAGCGCTATAGCCTCTGTGCATGAGGTGAATGCTCTTACCCCTAGGCTACCAGCGCCCATGGTGAAATGTAAATTCAAAAGAGATTTAATCAAGATGTTGAAAACATTGTAAAGACTCTGCAGTTCCTGCGGCATGTTCTGATACTGCAGCACAGACTGTCGTAAAGCCACAGTCAGGAGGAGACGTGTGTGGCTCAGCCAGGCAGAGAGCGGGATGATCAGGTGTGTGCCAGGGGAGCAGAGTGATGCTAGGATCAGTAACGTGTTCGAGCTAATGAAAGTCTGGCCTAGCAGTGAGAGAATTAGCTCTGTATGGTATCAAAATATCGGAGACATCATTAGGATGCCGGTTCAAAAAGTTTTTGAGGTTATATCTGAAGCTGATCTGTGCTTAATACCAGGGACGGTTCTTAAATTATAGACTACTTTACCATACTGAAGTTTCTCCATTTCTTGTAAAGCTCTCAAACCTTTGGTCCCTTTTACAT